CTATTCCGATCAATTCCAATTCAACAATACCCGGTTTAGGGTCTGGGGAGGGTGGAGTGTACGCAGCCTTACCCCTGCCTTGTGGAGGGGACCAATTCCAATTCAATACTAAACATTTGCATGGTTATCTTGTTAAGCATTAAAAAGAGTACACCTTTATTTATTTAAGTAGTTCTTCATGTTTGCACCCACATGTGGGGGCCTGATATCTTTTCAGGATCAATGTACTTAGAAATTATTAAATTCATGACCTCTACCCTATCTGCAGAGTACATGTTTCTCCTAATTCTTATAGAAAAAAACTAAAAAACTAACTACTGCACTACTATAGGGTTAGCAAAATTTTGCAATTAATACTAAAACAAAGGGCAAACGCACCAAGAGGTACAGACTCCTGTATAATCACCACCACAACAACAACATAACCGTGTAATCCGACAAGTGGGTCTGGGCGGTGTGGGGTATACGCAGACTTACCCGTCTGTAAGGTAGAAAAATTGCTTACTATAGAAACTCAACTCAAGTAAACCTCAGAAGTTTGTAATCCATAAATATGAGTTTTTTATTTTTATTTTCAAAAATAAAAAAGAAGAGAGGAAAAAACAAATAAGACTAACCTGCATTTAACAATTTTGCAACCTTCAATAAGTTCAACAAAGTGACGACACTGTGGACACCTTTTCCACTTATTAGCCTCGGCAACCACACCAAAAACGACATCGTTTCTATCCCTCAATTCCCGACTCTCTTCACACTGAAATCCAGAATGCCATGGAAGCTTACACTGAAAGCAAAAATGCATCTTGCAATTCGGGCACTTTGATCGCTTTGCATTCCCACCACACTCATCCAAAATCAAAGTCGAACATCTCCGATCCGGACAGTAACAATGCGCTAACCCTAAAACAGAAGATTCACACAACACGTCGGACCATCTCACAAATAGCTGAGGGCCAACAAGATTCCGGCAAGAAATTGGGTCCAAAAAATTCTCACAACTCAGAGACGGACACGGAATGTTGCCGACGTTGTCCTCAAGCTTGACGGAGATGTATTTCACCATACAGTCCATACAAAACGGATGAACACAAAGATTCTGGTTCTTGAATTTTTTGTTTGGTAATAATATAGGCTCGATACAAATTTCGCAAGTGAATGATTCATCCGGTGATTCTGTGACTGGTGATTCTGTGACTGGCGATTCTTGTTCTGACTGATTTTGGGCCAATTTTTGCTGTGTGTTTCCCATGATCAGTGTCAAAATTGTAGTGAAGTGTTGGATTTTATTTTTTTTCAAGTACTTTTTGTGTGGGCAAAGGAAGGGTCGTTTTAGGTCTTCTTCTTATACTTGGATTGTAATTTGTAGGAGTAATATTTTCCCCAAAATTTTCTTTCACGTATGACTTTTGCAGTTATCCTTCTTTTTCAAAATTAGCTGAACTTCTTTCTTGGAATTGGAATATCATAGCTGGTTAAACAATTTTTTTGTTTACTTATAAGTTATTCTTAATCCCTCTGTTCACTTCTATTTACGGAGTACTATCCTACTATTTACTACTCCATTCCATAAATAGTTTTCACTGTTACTAACATATTATATTTTATTTTTAGCATTAATTATTTATTCTCTAAATTATTTCTGAAGAATTTGAGAGGCAATGCGCACTTATTAAGAAAAATTAATTGAATTTGTGATGCAAGGCACATTTATTAAGAAAAATATTCAAAACGTCATTTAAATCATACTTTCCACTTTTATTCTTTGTGAAATCATGAACATAACTTTGCAAGTAATGTAATTTATCTCCTAAAAAATATCAAACTTCATTAAAGAAAATGACAAATATGGAAAAAAATCAAATATCCATTTGAACTTTGAACAATCCAATTATTTTGATCAATGGAAAAAACCTCAAATATTCAATTAATATAATAGATAGTATTTTTATTCCATATTAACTGAATTTGTAAAGCAATGCATACTTATTAATAAAAACATTCAATGACATAATTTAATATCACATTTTTCAATATTGTCCTTTGTGAAAATAATAAATATAACTTTTCAAGTAGAATGATTTATCTCCTAGAAAATACCAAACTTCATAAAAGGAAAGGATAAATATGAAAAAAAATTCGAACATTCATCTTGAACTTTGTACAATTCAATTATTTTGAACAATGAAAATACCTCCAAAAATTTAGTTAATAATGGAATAGTGGGAATATCAATCAATAAGAAGTGAGTAAAATACTAAAGTAAATCATTATTTTCTTACTAAACGTGTTAAGTCCATATAAAACAAGTAAAAATCTTAATAATCGTGTTAAGTTCAAATAAGACAAATAAAAATAAACTAAAAAGAATATTTCCTACGTTTCAAAAAGAATTTCCCACTTTCCTTTCTAGTTTGTTTAAAAAAGAATGAACTTTTTTTTCTTGTAACATTTTAATTTCAGTTTTTCACGTGGCATGTTTAATACCACAAACAGGCCACAAGATTAAAGGGCAATTTTGTACATTTGACATAACTTTAATTTAGGACCACAAGATTCAAAAGTATTACTTATTTATTTTCTTAAACTCCGTATCAAATCAAACTAGGTCACTCTTTTTGAAACAGATAAAGTACAACTTTTCATGATTTAATTACTTGGGTTAATTTAAATTTTGTCATATATAGAGCTGTCAATATGGGTTGGCCCACCCTCATCCGAGCTAACCCATACATGCTTTGAAATTTGATGGGTCGGACCGGGCTAGCCCATTTTTTGTGTGCGTCGAAAAATGGTCTGCCCAGCCCACAAGTACGTGGGCTACGGGCTTTGCTGGGTCAATCCTCTTTTCTTAAAAGTATATTTTTTATAATTTAAAAATATTATCATAAATATTGACAAGACAATATTACATGGTGTTAGTGTTACTACTTGTTAATCAAATTGACAAATAAAATTATCTTTATAATATTTATTGAGTTTGATTTCGAGTAAAAACATATATAGCTAAATAGAAATATTCAACTAATTGTTTTCCAATGATCATAATAAAACAAAAAAAATTATGGCAATATTTCATAGGCTACGGCCTATGTAGTGGTTTCCTAGAAATTTTACGGTATTTTTTTTTAATTTTATGTAGTACATATTTATAAACATAATTTGCATTTAAATAATAATATTTCAAACTTTAAATAGATTTTGAATTTAGACTCTTGTTATTTTTAATACTCCATTTTATTTTTATTTGGCCCACGGGCAGACCCTATCCATATTTCTCAAGCCTCATAAATCGGCAGGCTTATTCAGATCGGGCTAAAAAGTTTTTTTCTTAAATGGGTTCCAAAAATCATAGCACAACCTTATCAAATCACGAGTTAGACCAGACCGACCCAATGGGCTTATAGCCCATATTGACGGTTCAGGTCATATACAATAAACTTACAGGACACGAAAAGAAGACCCTAGAGTTTAAAGGGGCATTTGTGATTTGACCATGGTTTTCTGTCTTTTTTTTTTGGGCGAACTCCGGAAAGCACGTTTAATTTATTTTTATTTTTTTAAAACACTAAAAAGGTATTTTTCACATTAAATTATTCACAAAAATAAAAATAAATTTGATTTTCAAATATCAATTTCATATTATTTTCAGTAACTATAGATATAATACTCCCTCCGTCCACAATTGTTTGTCAGGGTAAGGTCATGCACACCCCTCAAGGAAAATTTAATAGAAGGTGTAATTTGACTAATATAACCCTATTATACCAAGAATACCAAAAGTCTACATAACTTTTCAATTGAACTACACTATCATTAAGGGCAGAATTGGAAAAAGATGATTAATTATTTCTTGATTGTTTAAATTGACAATTAATCTTGGACATCTATTTTTAGTATACCTGCCAAATAATTGTGGACGGAGGGAGTGATGAATATGCACGAAAATAATTGATAATAAACAGTTAATTAATAGATGTAGGAAACTTCTGCGACCATTCCTCTTTTCACATACTCATATGAGAGAAAAAAGATTTGGTAAAGCGCAAAATCTTTTTGCTTCATTGAATTAGTAAGAAAATATAGGTTCATAAATGTAGGAAACTTCTGCGAACGTTCCTCTTTACTTTTTTTTTGGTATATTAGTAAAGTTCACGGCAATTACCGTACTAAATAAGGAAGGTATATATAGCATATGAAAGTGAAATATAACTTATTCACACTTAAAGCTGATATTAAATTATAATTAAAATAGGCACTTGTTACCTTTATCACTAATTTATATTTATACCATAAAAGCACGTTAAATAAGTTGATTGAACTTTTTGGGCTTCATTAAAATACTTTGTAATAGACAAATTTTCATTTATCATATTTAAAATAAAAAACTATCGTGAGTTTCTTAGAAAATAAAACTCTGTCGTGATTTTTGGCTGTCATATAAGAGTCCTAACAAAAAAAAAAGTAGTAAGAGTCCTAACAAAAAAACAAACAAAAGTTGGCGTAAATAGAACTGTCTTGTTTTTAGAAAATAAAATATTAATCATATATGTCAAGGATTTGTTTTATGGGGTGATTGAATTGTTACGGGAAATAATGTAACTCAAATTAATACGATTGAGTGAATATTTGCTATACTCTACCAATAATTATATATATAGTGCTCTCCTAAATATGGAAAAAAAATAAATTAACTTTTCAAACACAGAGAGATTAATTAGTACAGTAGTTTCTTTTGCATTTTTCCCAGAAGGTTATGACAATGACAAATATAATTAGCCAAAGTAACTTTTAAAATACGTAATTAAGTTTTCTAGTTGAGTTCTACTTCAAAACCATTTACAAATTGTTTTTTTTGGAACCCCAGAATAACCCGCAACCGCTATAACCTCTGCCACAACTTTGATAATTCATGTGTAATTAGATTTCAAAGTTGAAATATGTTTCTTTGAGTCCTAATCTAATTTTATTTTGTACTGCTTTTATAAATATGAATTTCGCTAACTAATAGGTTTTTCCATTAATCATGGGGAACACATTGCAAAAAATCCAAGAAGACGAATTGCCAGATGAATCTCAACCATTCTGCTGCAAAATTTGTATGGAGCCTTTGTTGTTACCCAGTACAAAATTTAAGAACCAAAATCTCTGCGTTCATCCGTTCTGCATTGACTGTATAACAAGATACATCTCCGTCAAGCTTGTTGACAATGTCATCGAAATTCCGTGTCCGTTTCCGACTTGTAACCAATTTTTAGACCCAATCGGTTGCCGGAATCTTGTGGATTCTGAACTGTTTGATAAATGGTCTGAAAAGTTGTGTGAGTACTCTGTTTTAGGGTTGACGCGGTGTTACTGCCCTAATCGGAACTGTTCTGCTTTGATTTTGGATGAATGCGGTGGCGTTGCGACGCGATCAAAGTGCCCAAATTGCAAGAGATTATTTTGCTTCCAGTGCAAGCTTCCATGGCATGCTGTGTTTCAATGTGAGGAGAGTGGGGCATTGAGGGATAAAAACGACGTCGTTTTTGGTAAGCTTGCTGAGCGTAAAAAATGGCAGAGGTGTCCTAAGTGTCGCTCTTTTGTTCAACTTAGTGATGGTTGCCGTTTTATCACGTGCAGGTTAGTTTGCGCGCTAGCTGTTTATAACAAATTAATTAAAGTATGATGTGTTTATATATAGACTTTTAATATTTAATTATGTTAGTTAATATGTAATGGTTGTGTTTATAGTTTAATCTGATTGTGTTTTTATGTGGATATATGTAGGTGTCGTGCCAATTTCTGCTACAACTGCGGAATGCGAGTCGATCGTCCCCATGGCCGGTGGTGTGCTTGTGATTCTCATTTAATTACCTTCAACCGTTTTCTACCTATTTTTTTAATCCACGTTCTTATTTTTCTTGTTTTTCTTATTCTTTATAAAAGCATTTCGCCCGTACATACAAAAAGAAATAATACCAAAATACGATTTGGGTTATTCATGTTTATGTTTAACAAATCAAATAGAACTGCAATTCAAACTATTTGGTGTGGTTTGGTTTAGTTTTAAATTTAAAAAATGGATACAAATTATTTATATACTATTCATAAATAAAATATATATATTTTATTAAGATTTAATTAACATAATTCTTTTAATTTTATCATTTTCTCAGGCCCAACATTTAACTTTTAGGGGTTGTTTGGTGGAGAGATTAGTAGTGCATGAATTAGTAATGCAAGATTTGTTTTTATCAAGTGTTTGGTTCATTGTTTTCCACCTCATCTTGTGTTAGGATTAAAACTTTATAAAAAGTTTCTTTGCAATTATAACCTTGAATTATTATGTAATTGGGTCAAGTTGAATAATTGTCGGACAATATTATAGAAGAACTATTTTGTTGTCATGTTTGCTATTTTTTCACTTAAATTATTTGAGGATAAATAATTGTCATATTAGTAAGCATCACTCACAATGTCTATTCTCAATTTAAAAAAGATTAACAATCTACTTTTAAAATCAGAAAGACGATATTGATTGTATTGGATTTATTTAGTAACAAACAACTTTTTATAAATAATTTGTAAGTTAATTTAAACAAAATAATTAAAATGATTTGAGGGATATTTTTATCTTTTCATAGACTTATTCCATGGTATTATATCTTGTGTATTACTATACCTCCAAATAGGTATTAGTAATACATCCTATAATACCATGTAGGGGATAATTAATACATGGATTAGTTATAAATATGTCCAAAATCCTACCAAACACAGTACTAAATAATATCATACATAATACATGGACTATCTCTACATAATAACTATTTATTCAGTTACCGGCAAAATAATTTTGGCCCATAAGACTAGCCCAATCCATATCGTGGTTGGGTGAGATTTTGACTAGAATTCATTTTTCTTTGCCCAACACGATGGCCTCAAGACTTGGTAGGGCTTGGTATATCACTTCTTCTTGGGCCCAACACCGTGGTAGAGTCTTACGGTGGCCTTAAATTATGTAAAATCTTTAGAAATTTCATAGTGTAACGAGCAAATTACATCCTATTTCTATCCTTTTTCAATTTATAAAAATTTCTCAAATTTAGTGTCATCTGGATACATAGCAATCTAGCCGGATACATTATACCTGATACATTAAAAAAAAAATCAGTTACAATTTAAAAGGAAAGGGAACGTAAAATTGAATGTGATTATCCCAAATCACGCAAATCAAGTTGATATCAATCTCTCCCAAATCGTAACAGCTTCAAACAATTCAATATTCAAATTTTGTCCTCTCAAATCTCTCCCAAATCTTAACAAATTAAAAAAAAATCAAAAATAGTAGTTGATACATGATGAATATCTCTATTTTGTTGAGACATTCAGAAGTCTGGGAAAGCGAGGTCAGTTATAAACAATACAAAAGTGATAGAATAGTTGTTGGACAAATAATTTCTTTTGTGAATCTCCCAGTTTATCGAAGATCCTTTCGATTTTGATTTAAAATTGACGAAAAAATTGAGATCAAAATTCTTCTCCAGTTCTTCGAAGATTCTTTCAATTTTGAAAAATTCAAAATTCTTCTCCCAGATTATCGAATATCCTTTCAATTTTGATTCACCATTGTCGAAAATTTTGAGATTCAAAATTCTTCTCCCAGTCCATCGAAGATCCTTTCAATTTTGATTCAAAATTGTTGAAATTTTGGAGAAGACATGAATATGTTTGTTAGTCTTGTTACTATCATCGTCTGTGGTTTGAAGAAGGTCTTGAGTTTTTTTAGGGCTCTCAACCTCTCATTTCGCACCGCTGCAACCACCTCTATGGCGTTTTCCTCCTCTATCGACATTGACCATATACTTGTATACTAAATGAAATTCGATCTCTCACTACTTCTACAGAGTAAAAGAAACGGGAAAAGTAGAAGAACAAAAAATTGATAGGTTAACTGGTTGGATTTATATGTATTTTTATCTATTTACGTATCATGCCCATAAAATTGTGCGTGGTACATTATTATTTATGTATCTTATTCTAATTGAAAAATATTGTAGTTTATAAAAGATATATTATACATGTAATTGTTCTCAATAGCATTTTTTTTTGTGATTGGTGCACGACACTGTGGCTAGTTGATATGTATTTGCTATATATAATAAAGTTAGAAATTTGTTGAATTTGACATACATGAATTAAACAAGTGGTGCAACTATGTCTTAAAATGTTACTCAGAAGATTGCAGATACATAATAACATCTGATTCATAGTCAATTCAACATTTTGACATAGTTATGTATCATATACAAAAAAGAAAAAACTATGAATATGATACACTGATTTAGTTATAAAACAGTGTTGTAGATACGTAACAACATGGTGATACATAATTATGATGGACACATAACAAACATATACATAACTATGAATATGATACAAACTGATATTATTAAAAACATTAGTGTTTATGTATAAAAAATAATATTTGATAATGTCTACAGATACATAGCCTCTAGTTGAATATGTATATGTGTATGTCTCTGGTAGTAAAAAATAATGAAATTTGTAATAGTTATGTATATTTGTATCTCAATAAATTAGTGTTATGTATCAAAACTAATATTTGAATACGATACATTGCACATGATAAAATTGTAATGTATCATAAAGTTGAAACGAAGACACTGTACATAAATTTATGAATCAAAATCAACTAGATACATTAAAAGTCAGAATCTTGGGTAGAGAAGTGTGTTTAGAAACACATTCTACCCCCCCCCCCCCCCCCCCT